TGATTTGTTTTTTCCCTTCCCCTCCACAAATTATACCAACATCAAATACAGTGAAAGCAGGAGTTATACTGTGGGGGAGGGACATACAAAGCAACAAAGAAATAATCTTATAAATATGTTAGAAACAATCGCATGAAAGAAAAAAAACATTTGAGTACATATCTTAGGGTTCATTTCCCTAACATCACCTTATCTGATCTTTTCTGCTTGACTCAGACATATACTAGATATTGCTAATAAGGTCTCATATCTAAAATATACTTGGAACTCAAAAAATTAAATCCCCCAACAACAAATCTTCAAAGAAACAACTGCCCAATAAATAAGTGGGCTAAAGACTTAAAGAGAAACTTCTCTGAAGAGGAAAGAAGGATGGCCAATAGACACATGAAGAAATGCTCAACATCCCTAGCCATAAAAGAAATGCAAATCAAAACAACATTGAGATACCACCTCACTCCACTTAGAATGGCTAAAATCAAGAACTCTAAAAACAACAGATGCTGGAGGGGATGTGGACAGAAGGGAACCTTACTGCATTGTTAGTGGGAGTGTAAACTTGTTCAGCCACTTTGGAAAGCAGTATGGAGGTTCCTCAAAAGACTCCACATAGAGCTCTCGTATGACCCAGCAATCCCACTTTGGAGCATTTACCTAAATGTTTACAAACAAGACCACACTAAACCTACCAGCATGACTATGTTTATTGCAGCACTATTTAGTATAGCTAAGATATGGAACCAACCCATATGCCCCTCAGTAGATGAATGGATGAAGAAAATGTATATATACACAATGGAATTCTATGCCTCCATCAGAAAGAATGACATTGCCCCATTTGTTAGGAAATGGAAAGACTTGGAAAAAATTATATTAAGTGAAGTAAGCCAGGCTCAAAGAAACATACTTATCAAAATATTTTGAAAATAAAGGTGAATACTTCTCCATCTGAATATAAACTGAATGAATTTATAAATACCCATAATATAAGAAATTTTGAAGAACTCCCAAAATATGTAAGGAAATGATACTGTATGGAAATATGAAGACCAACAGCAATGGTAATTATGTCTATCATGTCTGTATATACCTATGATGTCCAATTTATCTTATTATTATAACAATCTCTTTAAAAGATAATTATTTAAAGCAAAATATTATAACAATGTTTTCTATAGTTTATCAGTATTACAAGACTAGAAGTAGAATATCAATAGGAGAAATAGATATGTAATTTTTGTGTGTATATATGTATACTGTATGTATATATAATATTATTTTACTGAAAAATAGACTATAGTAAGTTTAAAAATATTATTTAAACTCGAAATCAAGAATAATGCATAGACACATGCAGAGACAGAGACAGACACAGAGAGCAGTTTTAACTAATAAGCCCACAAAGAAGATCACATGGAATCATAAAGTATTAATCTAATCCAAAAAAACCCATAGAAAATGGAAAAAAGTGGAACAAATGATGACTGACACAGCTAGAAATTAAACAACATAGTAGAAACAAGCTATAAGCAGGATCGCCTAAATATGAATATTAAAAACCACCCAAAACAAGATAATTAGACTAAATTAAAAATAAAACCTACTGTATGCTGTGTAAGAGAAAACAATTTTAAACACTGAAGTAAAAGGACACTTAAAAGTAAAAAGAAAGGTGGGGAATTGAGGCCTCTGGCTTCTGGGAGGCCAGGCCCAGCACAATGAAGAACAGGATGGAGGGAAGAATGAGGACAAAGATAATGAAGACAAGGACAGTGATGAAGAAAAGGATAACAATGAGATCATTGATGAGGAAGTGAATATTGACTTTGAAGCTTATTTCATCTCCGATAATGTTCATGTTAGAGTTACAAAATTATTGCAGCAGCTTTTCCTAAAGGCTCCAGTGAACACTGCAGAACAAATTGATCTTTTCATTCAACAGAACCCTATTAGGAGTGTGATTAAGCAAACTAATATTTCAGAAGATAATGACTATAATATAGTTCAAGATGAGATGTTTTGTTTTATGAACCTTTTAAATTTAACTGAACATATTAAAGGATTCGTTCTAAGCTTTCTATGAGAACTGTGAAAAGAGGATGGCTGAACAGCTGGATAAGCTTTTAAATGACACCTTGAAGCCAGTGGGCTGTCTGCTAAGTGACAGATTCATTAATGTCCTTTGGATTGTTCTTCCCATCTACCAGCAACTTCAGAAAGGCATACGAACTAATAAGCCATGTGAGACATTCTGCTTCAACTTGCTGGTCCTTAAGAAATTTATGGAAACAGAAAAACTCAATTCCAAGAAGGGGAGTGGTTAAAAGCAGGATTTTTTTAATGTTCACAAATGCAGAGGAAGAATTTTTCTATGAGAAGGCAATCCTCAAGTTTAGCTACTCAGTACAGGAGGCACATGTCTTCTGATGTACCACTGAAACCTTAAGGAACTGGGATGTTAATTCCAGAGACAGAGAGCAGTTTTAACTTATAAGCCCACAAAGAACAGCACATGGAATCATAAAGTATTAACCTAATTCAGGATACCAGGTGAGTGAAATCATGGAAAAACTGAAAAAACACCTATTTAGCCTACTTTCCATAGACTGGGATAGGTTTGGTTTAGTAAAAACTTGAGAAAACCTTGAAAATTTTTACTGAAAAACTCATCACTTTATTCAGATTAAATTTCTCTATAAAAACTACGATTCTGTTTATGTGTCTATAACACATTTATACAATACCTGTTTATTTAAATTTTTGTCAAATTAGGAATGGTTGGCTAGAAACATCTACTAAGAAGAAAAATAGAGAGTGGGTAGTTTAAAGAATGCAGCAGCCAGATGCTGGTTGCTCACGCCTATAATCCTAGCTACTCAGGAGCCTGAGATGTGAGGATAGCAGCTCGATGCCAACTTGGACAGTAAAGACCATGAGACTCTTACCTGTAATTAACCACCAGAAAACCAGAATTGGCTCTGTGGCTCAAAATGGTAGAAGGCTAGCCTTGAGCAAAAAAGCTCAGGGACAGTGTCCATGCCCTGAGTTCAAGGCCTAAGACACACACACACACACACACACACACACACACACACACACACACACACACACGCATGCACGCACGCACGCACGCACACACACACACACACAGACATAACTCCCATTTTTAAATTTTAAAACGAAAAAGTAAAAATACAAAGATTATACTGTGAATAGTCTGCATGAAAGTGTTATCATAGCTGACTCTGAGGCTGCTTTTGTTTGGAACAAACTTTGCAAGTTAATTCCTTTTTTTTTGGCATTTGGGAACTTGGTTTTTTTTTTTTTTTTTTTTTTTTGGTCGGTCGTGGGCCTTGAACTCTGGGCCTGGGCGCTGTCCCTCAGCTCTTCAGCTCAAGGCGAGTGCTCTACCACTTGAGCCACAGCGCCACTTCCGGTTTTCTAGTGGTTTATTGGAGATAGGAGTCTCACGGTCTTTCCTGCCCGGGCTGGCTTTGAACCGCGATCCTCAGATCTCAGCCTCCTGAGTAGCTAGGATTACAGGCGTGAGCCACCAGCGCCTGGCTGGCATTTGGGAACTTGGATTTCAGGAGCACTCTCACCAGTTTTTAACTGTTCAGTGTCTTAACATGTCTAGACTATCTAACTATGTGACTATCACACTATGTGATCTCTTCCACCCTTGCTTCAGCCATTTTAATGTGTTCCACCTTGAGGCTGTCAGTACAGAACCAACATGGGTTTGCTCAGCCTGACTTTCATCTTTTGAATCTGTGACCTAAGCAAACTTACTTTCTTTATGAAGTATCTGGTCCTAAGTTACTTCATTATAAAATAGAAAACAGATGTACAGTGATAGCATGTTAATGTATCTTAGTCATTTGTACAACTATGTGCTAAGTCCCATGAGTCCTTCTAAAAACATTGAGTTGGAAAAAATGACATGAATGTAAAATGGAAACTGTTTGCAGAGGGAAACCAATGGGAGGGCTGAGACTAAAACGAAAGGGTAGTGGGATGGGCACTAATAATCAGTGTTTTATTTACATGTATGAAAATACAATAGTGAAACACATTACAATTTGTTCAAAAGTGGGTGAAAGACAAGAAAGAGCAATAGTGAGGGTGAATTCAATCAAAGTATGTGATATACAATTATGAAAGTATCACAATGAAACCCTTATGTACAATTAATATATGCTAATGTATGCTAACAAAATATTGACTTGGTCTTGAGTCCCTGATATACTAATAAAAACCAATGGCAAGGTGGTCTGCTCTGAAAGGAGAAAGGGTATACATTAGAGAAAAAAATAGTACCATAGATAAAAAATTTCTATTCAGGACTGGGAATGTAACCCAGAGGTTGCACTTGCATAGCATGGGTGAGACCCTGGATTTGATCTCCAGCAAAAAAAGTATGTTAATTCATCAGAATACAATGTTAAACTTATTTAAATCCAATTAAACACAAACATGCATGCACACACATGCACACATACATAAAGCCAGAAGTAGATCTGTGGCTCAAGTGGTAGTGCCCTAGTTCAAGCATAGAAAAATGAAAGGAAGGAAGGAGGGAAGGAGGGAAGGAGGGAGGGAAGAAGGAAGGAAGGAAGGAAGGAAAGAAGGAAGGAAGGAAAGAAGGAAGGAATGAAGGAAAGAAAATGAAAGAGAGAAAAAAGAAAAAGGAAAGAAGGGAAGAAGAAAGAAAACAATAAACCCTTAAATACTTGTACCCCAGATAGGTCAAAAATATTAAAAGATTAATAGGTCAAAAATATCAAGAGGTGGGGCTGGGAAGGTGGCTCAGTGGTAGAGTGCTTGCCTCACATGCATGAGGCCCTGGGTTTGATTCCTCAGCACCACATACACAGAAAAAGCCAGAAGTGTGTGTTTTGGCTCAAGTGGTAGAGCACTAGCCTCGAGCTAAAGAGCTGAGGGATCTCACAGGCCCAGAGTTCAGGCCCCACAACCAACCAAAAAAAAAAAAAAATCGAGGTGCCCTTTTCTGCAACATATATACACTAAATTGGAATGATCCAGGGAAAATTAGCATAGTTCTTGTGTAAGGATGTCATGCAAATTCATGAGGTAGTCCATATATAAGGTAAAAAGGAGAATGTCTCAGAGGGAATCAGTGGAATGGAGAAAGAGGAAAGTAAAGGACACAGAGTAATGTGGATTAAATCCCATAACCATAAATATATGAAGACAAGATAATGAAATCTACCAAATGCTGTTTGATAAAGGGGGATAGGAGTGAAGGGGTATGACATATAATGGAAGGGATAAACTTGTTCACAGTACTCTGTATGTGTCTAGGTAATTATGCACAATGAAACTCCCACATACTACAGCATGCTAATTCAGAAAATAAAAACTTCAAAAATATAAAAAAAAACAGAAGTATTTCAACAACTGCATGTCAAACATTATGTGGTACACATAAAAGCAGTATACACAGGGAATTCATATCACTGAAAAGCCTGCTTTAGAAATGAAGGGTCCCCAATCAAGATAATATGATAGCTGTCTGCTGATGGCTCACAACTGTAGTCCTGAGGCTGAGATTGGGAGGATCCAAATTTGAAGCCACCCTGGGCAAAAAAGATCATGAAACTCTTATCTTTTATTAACCAGCATAAAGCTAGGCTGAAGGTATGGCTCAAGTGGTAGAAAGCCAATCACAAATAAGCCAAATGTGTTTGAGGCTCTTGAGTACAAAGTTAAAGCCCTGGTACCAGCAGAGAAGAAGATGGGCAGATGCCATTAATATGAGGAATCAGGTCAGTAATACAATTATATGCCCTTCTATAATAAAAGAATAACATTATGAATTATGTTACTCCAATAAATTAACAACCTAGGTCAAATAGAAAAATCCTTAAAGGCATATAATACTAAAAAACACCACTAAAGGAGAAATAACAAAACTACACCAGTATTTATTAAATTCAATGAATCTACTGTCTAAAAGCTGTCCACAAAGAAAACTTCCTGACATGTATGACTACACTGGTGCATTGTACTGAACAATTTAAAGAAGAAACAACATCAATTCTACACAATTCTTTCAGAAAATCAAAGACACAAGGATCCTACAGGGCCTGGTAACAAAGAAATTACAAAGGAGGAAATCTATGGATGAATGTCATTCATAAAATTAGATATAAGCAGGGTCCCAGTGGCTCACACCTGTACTCCTAGGTACTCAAGAGGCTGAGAACTGAGGGTGACAATTAAAAGTCAGCCTGGGCAGGAGACTTTTATCTCCAATTAAGCACCAAAAAAGTAAAAGCTGTAAGTGAAGCTGTGTGGTGGTATAGTGCTAGCCTTGAGCACAAAAGCTCAGGCACAGCACCCAGGCCCTCAGTTCAAGCCCCAAGATTGGTGTGCTCTCTCTCTCTGTCTCTCTCTGTCTCTGTCTGTCTGTCTGTCTGTCTCTCTGTCTGTCTGTCTGTCTGTCTCTCTCTCTCTCTCTCTCTCTCTCACACACACACACACACACACATACACACACCTCTAATTAAACATCAAAAAACTGGAAATGGAGCTGTGGCCTTGGATTAGAGCACCGACCTTGACTGCAGAAGCTAAGGCACAATGCCCAGGCTGTGAGTGCAAGCCCCAGGACTGGAACAAAAAATTGAAGTAAAAAATACATTTACAGTTGTGTCCAAAATGGGAAATTTTGATAGAATATATGTAAGTGCTGAAACCATTCAAGACTATAAAACATTGCTGAGGGAAATGAAAGATCTAAATTAATGGAAAGATGCCATGTTCTCATATCAAAAGTGGCATTAAGACTTTTTTTACTCAACATGGTAAAAAGACTCAGTTAAATCTCAATCAATCACAATAAGGTTTTTTGTTTTTTTAATTTCTTTTTTAAAAATTGTATTCATATAGTTGATATACAGAGGGATTACAGTTACATGAATCAGCTATAGACAGTACAATTCTTTTTTAATGTATATTTTTATTGTAAAGGTACAATACAGAGGGGTTACAGTTACATGAGCAAAGTAATGAGTCCACTTCCTATTGAGCATTGTTACACTCTCCCTTGTTTTTCCCCTACATTCCTTTCCTCCCTATCTCCCCAAATTTTCCCTTCTACCTCCCAAAGTTGTAAAGTTTGTTTTCAACATAGTGTCTTGTACATCTTGTTGTTACAATGGGTCATCCTGTATCCTTATTTCAGTATTTTATTTCGCTTCCCCTCTGCAAATTAGAAACACACACACACACACACACACACACACACACACACACACACACATACAGACAGACACACACGATGCAGGACACTAGAATCAAATACAATGACAACAGGGGTTATACCATGGGTGAAGAACATACAAAGAAACAAAAAAAAGTCACATAGAACATTACAATTACATTAAAAAGAACAGCAAGAAAGATAAGATCTCTTCTGTCCCTATCTTGGGGTCCATTTTGCTTAACATCATCTCTTGTGCTCATGTGTACATATCTTTTGAATTCTTCTCATTATTCTAGACAAATTGCAAAGAAGGGAAACCATGGGAACTATGTTTCTTTGGGTCTAGGTTACTTCACTTAATATAATTTTTTCCAAGTCTTTCCATTTCCTAACAAATGGAGAGGTGTCATTATTTCTGATGGAGGCATAGAATTTCATTGTATATGTATATAACATATTTTCTTGATCCATTCATCTACTGAGTGGCAACTGGGATGGTTCCATAGCTTAGCTACGGTCAATAATGCAGAGATAAACATAGTTGTGTTGGTAGCTTTAGTATGGCCTTATTTGTGAGCATTTGGGTGAATGCCTGAAAGTGGGATTGGTGGGTCATAGGGAAGCTCTATGTGTAGTCTTTTGAGGACCCTCTATACTGCTTTCCAAAGTGGTTGAACAAGTTTTCACTCCCACCAACAATATATTAGAGTTCCCTTTTGGCCACATCTGTTGTTATTAGAATTCTTCATTATAGCCATTTTAACTGGGGTGAGATGGAATCTCAATGTTGCTTTAATTTGCATTGTGTTTATGGCTAGAGAAGTTGAGCATTTCTTCATGTGTCTATTGACCATTCTTATTTCCTCTTTAGAGAAGTCTCTGTTTAAGTCTTTAGTCCATTTATTAATCAGGCAGTTGTTTCTTTGAGTATATTTGTTGTTGGGGGATTTAATTTTTTGAGTTCTATGTATATTTTAGATATAGAACCCTTGTACATTGTGTGGCTAGTGAAGATCTTTTCCCAATCTGTGGGCTTTCTATTGATCTTGCTAGGTATGTCCTTTGCCATGCAGAAGCTCTGCAGTTTCATGCAATCCCATTTGTCCAACCTTTCTTTGATTTGGTTGTGTTTCTGGGTTTTCCTTAAGAAAATTTCAGCCTGTTCCAAGGAGCCCTAGAGTTTCTCCTATTCATTTCTGTAATATTTTCAGGGTGTCTGCTTTGACTTGGAGGTCTCTGATCCATTTGGAATTGATTCTGGTGCAGGGTGATATATACAGATCTATAGTTTTCTTCAGGTGTTAAACTAGTTTTTCCAGCACCATATACTGAAAAGGCTGTCTTTCTCCCATTCTATTTTTTTTATTGCCCTTGTCAAAGATTAGGAGGATATTGGTCTGTGGGTTCATTTCTGGGTATTCAGTTCTAGTCCATTGGTCCTCAGGTCTGTTCTTGTGCCAGTACCAAATTATTTTGACTACTAGGGCTTTGTAGTAAAATTTTAAGTATGGTATTGATATTCCCCCAGCACTGTTCTTTCTGCTAAGGATTGTTTTTGCTATTCGGGGTCCTTGACTGCTCCATGTGTAGTTTTGAATTGCATCTTTCTGAGCTTTCTCTGTTGATTTTTTATGGTATTGATCTATACAGCAGGGATAGTGGTGTGTTAAAGTCCCTAACAATTAATGTCTTTGGATCTATGTGATTTTAGGGAAAGTCGTGTTTCTTGGATAAATCTGGGTGCTCCATTATTTGGTGAATAGATATTTAGAATTGTAATATCCTCATGGAGAGATCCCTTAATTAGTATAGAATGATCTTCTTTATCTCTTTTCACTAATTTTAATTTGAAGTCTATTTTATCTGATATTAATATTGCAACTCCCGCCTGTTTACGGGGGCTGTTTGGTTGGTAGATTTTATTCCAGCCTTTAACTTTCAGAATATGTTTGTTTTTGTGGATAAGGTGTGTTTCTTGAAAGCAGCAGATAGAAGGATCTTGCTTTTTGATCCAATTAGACAGACTGTGTTGGAGAGTTAAGTCCATTAATATTCAGAGTTAGGAATGAGAGGTGTTTGGTAGTCCCTGCCATGTTTTCCACCTTTTGGGGGGCTGTGCCAACTGGGTTCTTCCTATTATTCTTGGATCCTCTGTTTGGGAGTTGTTTCTTGGCCTTTATTGTGCTCTTGTTGGTTTTCTATGTGTAGGACATCTTAAAATATCTTTTGTAAGGCTGCTTTATTGGAGATATATTGTTTCAATTTTTCTTTGCTGTGGAAGGTTTTTATTTGTCCTTCCAGTATGATGGAGAGTTTTGCTGGGTATAGTTCTTGATTGATAGTTAATTTGTGTTTAGGGCATGGCATACATCCTTTCAGGCTCTTCTTGTTTTAATTGTCTCTGATGAGAAATTGAAGTTATTCTGATTGGCTTCCCTTTATAAGTGATTGATCTTTTCTCCCTGACAGATTTAAAGATCCTTTCCCAGGTCTCAATTAATCCTGTGGGGATTACAATGTGAAGGTGGGATATCCTGTTCTGGTCTGGTCTATTTGGGGTTCTAAAGGCTTCTTGTATCTGAATGGGCCTATCTTTTTCTATGTTTAGGAAGTTCTCTACTTGGATCCTGTTAAATAAATTTCCTAGACCTTTCACTTCTGTCTCAAGGCCCTCCTCTACACCCATTAGCTTTAAATTAGGCCTTCTGATGTTGTCTTCTAAATGTTGAATACATCTATCATGTTTCTTGGATTTGTCTTTTTTTGGGGGGGTGGTCCAGTTGTGGGGCCTGCACTCTGGGCCTGGGCACTGTCCCTCAACTCTTCAGCTCAAGGCTAGTGCTCTACCACTTGAGCCACAGCGCCACTTCCCGGTTTT